GGGGGGGGGGGGGGTATATTATGTAATAATAATGTTAAAAATGCGTTTGAGATAATAAAGTTGTATAATTGAATCAATCACACTGTGATGAAAAATATTTCAGGTTGAGAAGCATCACCTCCCACAAATAAGCTCTGCTCTAACAGCAAAGAACTCTTACCTCCCACAACCAAAGCGCATCTAAAGCCAAAATGTTTATTCTTTAGGTTCGGATATAGTAAGGAACGGCAAAACAACCGTCAGGTTATTTTTTTTCTACTCTTTGTGTTCTATTTGGCAGATTTCCTTCACTTCCTGTCCCAGAGACACAACAGGAAGTAAGGGGAAATCTTCTCTTAGGCAGCTGTCCTCAGGACAGGTGGAAGATTTCCCCACACCTCCTTTTCTGGTGACAACTTTCAAATGTTGGGTTTCCCTTTACTTCCTGTGCTGGTCGTAGTGCAGACTCACCATCTGCGTCAGGAGTCGATCTTCTCCGATCAGCTTCCAGCCGATACCCGCCAGCACCTCGAACTCTTTCATCTTGCCGTCAATGCTTCTCTCCAGCCCCTCCCTCCATGCCAGGCTGAGCCGGTCCTCGGGACTGTCCGACAGGATCTGGGCTCTCGTCTCCTCTGTCCAGGATCTGCAGAGAGAGAGGATCACAGGGGCTCGTTCTACAGAGGCTGGGAAATGCATTTGTGTGAAGCAGTCTGACAATCTGTTTGCAATACTCGTTTTCCTGAAAGCTGTTCTAAGGATGCTGAAGAAGTGAATGTCCTTTTTCAGTTTTAGGTTTTTATTTGGTAAATTATTTTAATTTAAAAAAATACATTTAATTTTTAACTTTTTTTTTAAATAATGCGACTGTATCTGACAACTGGTGTATTAAACTGACGGCGCTGCACATGAACATTACAGCCTGAAGGTGGCGATGTTCATCTGTAGACTGAAGACTTTCCTTCAATGACTGCATGGGATCAATGTGCCAGAGCTGACATAGTGATCACATGATCCGGGGGCCGCTCTGATTGGTCCTTAATCTGATTACCAGAGAAAAAAAAACATTAGTTACATTCTGCAGGTCCCTCATGGAAGGTCTGCAGCCTCTGGTCACACAATTCTCTACTATGCCTATTCCACTCTTTGTCAGAGAGTCACAAGAAGCCTACAATGGGCGGAGTTGGGAACCCCCAGCCTGCACATGCACATGGCTCAGCAGCTGGTGTTCCCTGATTATCAGCAGCCTCAGCATTTGATGACCTGGAGCACTACAGTCGTGCATCCTCCTGCCATGTGTCACCGCGGTCAGATCATGTGACCCCTGTCTTATCTATACACAGCCCATACAGCACTCACATCATCCCCAGGTAGCTCAGGAAGAATTCTCTCAGCTGGGAGGTTCTGTGCAACTGGGCTCGGTTCCTCTGGATGTCCTCCTGTAGCTGGGCCCAGGCCTGGAGGGCTTCCTCAATGCTTCTCCCCAGCACCTGACTTCTCTGGGGGCAGAGCTCTTGTAGCCGGTTCCTTTGCTCCTCCAGAGACCTCACCTCGGCCTGCATCTCTCCCGTCACCTCGGCCTGGATGACAAAATGGCTGCCGTCATGTCAAAGTCACCACAGCTAGGAATGTTCCACATAACCCATCCTTGAGAGTCTCATAACATAATGCGGCCTACACTGTCCATAAAGGGTGAGGTCGTCATAGCGACTGCAGGGCAAACCACTTGCAGTCTTTATATAAGGCATGTGGGTTCGGGTTCGGAAGGACAACCTTTGTGTAATAAGCGATCGGGGTCTTCTATAAACAAGAGAACCTGTCATATACTAGTATTCAAAAGACATAGGGGGGAATTTATCAAAACTGGAGCAGAAGAATCTGGAGCAGTTGCCCATGGCAACCAATCAGCTTCTCTCTTCAGTCTGTTCAGTTAAGCTTTGAAAATGAAAGAGAGAAGCTGATTGGTTGCCGTGCACAGATGCACCAGATTTTGTCTGCTCCGGTTTTGATAAATTCCCCATCACACAGTATATGATCATAGATATAAAACTAACATCTCCGTATGAAGGTTGGAGGAGCTGACTCGAGATCTGGTATGACCCTGAGACCTTGAGGTGCACCTAGAGGCCCCGAGACCTCAGATCAGACCCTGAGTGTTCCTCAAAATAAATGTCAGGAGTTCTAGTTCAATCAACCCCAAATAACCCAAATATTGAACGGGTCCAAGTCTATGCAGGACAGAGGTTAATGATGTCCTCTGCAGCCTGGATGTCCGACAAGACACCTGATCCTGCACTGTGATGGACAGTTTAGATGACAAGAGAATACCAGTGCGGGACAATTAAACCAGTTGGGCCATAAGTAGGTATACACTGGTGACTGGGCCATATTAGTCTCTTAGCTGCAACACTACTAGACATTGGTAGACGTCTAAGTTTTAATCAATGGTGTGATGAGCTGTAGCTCCCTATATACTGTGCTTAGGGTAACTAGAGGACGCTAGTTTGTGTCCTCCCGTTACCCTAAGGAGAACTATGGGGAAAAGCCCTGACCCCATAGTTCTCCTTTAAGGCTCGTGATTTTATGGTGCCTTTTGGTGGCCTGGTTTCATAGAAATTGGAGGGCGTACAAAATATACTTATGTTCTGCAGACTATATGGCCAAAAGGTATGTGGAACACCCCCCAAATGATTCAGGTGTGAAGGGTACTGTTAATAATCAGCATACAAAGACATTGTAGGCAACTATGTACTTCCAACATTGTGGTAACAGTTTGGTGAAGGTTCTTTTCAGTTCCACCATGACCGTGCACAAAGCCAGCTCCATAAATACATGGTTTGACCAGTTTGGTGTGGAGGAACCTTAAGTGGCCAACCCAGAGCCCTGACCTCAACCCTACTGATCACCTTTGAGATGAATTGGAGAAGATATTATCATTCAACATCAGTACCTGACCTCACAAATGGGCACAAATTTCCTAGACACACCCTGCAAAATCTCTTGAAAAGTCTTCCCAATAGAGTGGAGGCTGTTATAGCCACAAAGGAGGAGGGGGGGGGGGGGGACGACTTCATATTAATGTCCATGGATTTAGAATGAGATGTCCAACAAGCCCATATAAGTGTGATGGTCAGGTGTCCACAAACCTAACTATACAGTGCAGGGTAGAAAGACTTTGGCCTTCCAGCTGTTGTGGAGCTACAGGTCCCATTAGGCATGACTTCTAGATGCATGAAGGGATTTTTGTTTCACCACAGCTTGAGGGACAAAGTTTGGCTACCCCCTGATATGATGTTGATAGACATTTAGTGAAACAAGGACAGTTGGGCCACCCGTAGTTAAGTATGGTGGCTGTTGGGGGAACTTCAAAACGGTTTCGCTCCATGGAGTTCCTGCAGACTTTGGCTTTTGTTGTGCTCGCTAGTAGTGACTCACCAGTCTGCGTACTCTTACAATATGGCCACCGCGACAAGACTAACTGTGAGACAGTGAACCACACACAACGTCAATCTAGAGACGGCTGCCAGTTACCTCTGCTTGTTGGTGTAGTCCCGAAATCTCCTGCAAGTCTCTCAGCTCCACGTGCTTCTTCGCCGCTATGTAATTCTGCTCCACCTCCTCCATCTTCCTCCGCACATCCTGGGTCAGGGCGCTGGCTGACTGGATCATATGGGAGAACGCCAAGAGCTACAGAAAAGGAGAGACGGAGACAGTGACGGTACATACCACCCAAGGGGTACCACAAGGTGACTCACACAAATGAGTCTTACATTTAGCAAACAAGACTGTGCAACATAAAATAAGAATAACATTATGTTGAGTCTATTGGTCTACATGGAGCTCAATAACTGGAACTTTCACATCTTAGTGGAAAGTAACCGTCACTTTGTAAAAAAAATAAAGGTACCATAAAGATCCTTATCATGGTATGCTAGCTCTGCGAAGTGACATATGTGATGTACCATTAAATGTCCCCCCCCCCAGTAAGGGTGACACGGTCCCAGTAAGAAGGGCTCTGTTTTATACTGGTATGCACACTCAGAAGCTGGGAGACAGTGTGAGAGTGCCAGTATTACTGTTATATGAGTGCCGACCCAACACATCCAACTGTCATTTGATTTGTTGTATACGGTGAATGCCCTGCACTTGCTGTCAGCAACGCTGTAGACTAGGGATGCACTGATAACGGTTTTTCGGTATTGAGTACAAGGGCCGATATTATTTTGTCCGGTACTCGCCGATACCAAATACTGATACCGGTGCCATGTGCCCAGATTAGTGGATCATGACCCTTCGCCCGGCTTCCTGATTGCCTGTGAAGCCCGTGTTCTGATTGGCTAGCAAGCCGGCATCACTTGTTGCTAAGTAGCGTGGCTTCCTGACCAATCCAGAAGCCGTGTGGCATGTCATAACTCGCTTCCCTGCTTCCTGATTGGTCAGGAAGCCACGCTACTTAGCAACAAGTGATGCCGGCTTCCTAGCCAATCAGAACGCGGGCTTCACAGGCAATCATGAAGCCGGGTGGTGGGTCATTACGTGCCATCCGGCTTCCTAATATGGTTAGGAAGCCAGGCTGCCTAGCAACAAGTTAAGCCGGCTTCCTAGCCAATCAGGAAGCCGGGAGGCAGGTCATAACCCACCGCCCGGCTTCATGATTGGAAAGGAAGCTGGCTCCATGCTCCCTCAGCATTTGCGGTCAGAGGGAGATCTCCCTCTGACAGGAAGTTCCGGTACCGGAGCTAGGTATCGGAGCATTTGGGCAAGTACTTGTACTCACGCAAATACTTGGTATCGGCACTGATACAGATACTAGTACCAGGATCGGTGCATTCCTACTGTAGACACTGACCCGCCTCTCCAGGTCGGTCGTCTCTTTGTTGGCGGCCAGCTCCATCGCTGCATCGTTCAGCATTTCCACCGCTTCCTGCAGCTCTTCCAAAGGGGTGAACACTTCCTTCCTGTGTGCCAATTCTGGGGGGGGATCTGGGGGCTCCCTGAGGGGCTGCAGAAAATAAGGCAGTTGGTGAGCAGGCAATGCACAATACACAATGTTACATATCAGCAGAATGTTACATGATGCTAAAATGTATCACACGTCAATGTACAGAGAGGCACAATGTCAGGTTGTGTGCACTGTGGCAGAGGAATCCAGCAGTAGTGACACTTAGGCCAGGTTCATGTGTGTGCGGTGTGGAAACCCATGCACGTTGTATATACGCGTCTATGCACGTATATACACGAGCGTCTATGCGCGTATATATGTGCACTATATGCAATCCCAGAATGCATCACTCGTAATGGAATTTTTAATGTTCTGTACGCTTATATGCGCGTAAACACGCGTATGTGCGTGGAAATACGCTGCCTGGACGCATGTCTCTTCCATTCTGTTTTTGCGCATATACACGCTACGCAAATATACGGCTCCATACGCGGCTATGTGTATGGAGCCATTTATTTGCATATGTTGCATATGGTACAATACGCGTGTATATGTACGGCAGTGTGAATGAGGCCTAACACATGATATGTCGCGCCTTAACTTGTGTGAGGCAGATCATTCATATTTAATAAGATGTCAATGCACCTACTCATAGCAAAACCCGCACACGCACCCACTTTTGTGAATGCCGCGCAGGGCAATGCACTGCCATGTGTTGCAGTGTCCTGGAGCACAGTGTGTTGCCTTAGTGCGCTATGATGCCATTCATTTTGAATGTCCTATCTTTAGTGTAATAGTATATTACCTGGCCTTAAAGGTCTTATCACACTTCCCTGCAGCTCAAGGCATCTCATCACAGCATTTCAAAAATCGCAGAGGGCCTCTGCTGGATGGAGCCACATGGATTGTAATGGCTTTTATGTGCAAAACCGGTAGACTTGTACACAGAATTCCACAAATCACAAAGTTTCTTTAAGGTGTGGTCCTAGAAGGACCATCCTATCTGTGTACTGCGCCATGGCGGAGGTGGAAGCACAGCACAGAATGCAACACAGCACTAAGGCCGCAGTGTGAACTGTCTCATTCTGCAACCATGGCATGTATTGGTGCTTTCCTAAGTGGGTCGTGCTCTATAAAACACACAGATGTGGACCAGCACAAGTGGACACCAACAGGCAGAAACTGGACTTAGTACAGCTATCACCTTACTATACTTTTTAACTGGGGTTCTCACCAGTAAGACGCACACAATAAACTATAATATTTGTCTCTCTCACCGAATTCCTCCTCCGCCTCTCCTCCTCCAACTGGACAACCTTCATGAACTCGGACAGCACCAACGTGTCTCTCAGATCAGAAGCACGGCGTCGGAGTCCCTCCTGTACCGTCTGCAGCCTGGAAGGAGACAGCATTGCAGGTATAAGTTAACAGGGCAGCCCCTTTTTTGATGTTCTACAATGGTTAAACCTTTAGTTATCATCAGAGAGATAAATAAAGATGTGTATAGGGGAAGCAGAACACCCTTCCTCCTGCTGGTGACCCCTCTAGTCATATCTAAAGATCTATATAGTGGGCTTAGTGGGCGTCACACTGTGCTCACCTCTCCTCCACCTCCCGGACCTGGACCTGCATCTCCTCGTCCACACTCCGCCCGGAGCTCCGCACCGCTCTTCCTGTAGAGTGCATAGCCACTCCTCGTGACTTTACCTGCTTCTCCAAGTAGGACACCTGCCTCAGGTCCCGGCGGACCAGCTCCGGACTGCGCATGGCGGCGGGCTCCGACAGAAGCTGCTCCAGATTCTGCAGCCATTCGGATGTGGCCTTCAGCTCACTGAGGAGAACCTCTTCCTGCAGATTCGTTAGAAAGTACAGATGTAAGTAGATGGAGAGACCCTCCGCACTCCTCACAGCAGTCCCGGCCAGGTATGAAAAAAGTGGTGCTTGCAGTGATGAGATACCACGGATGGCACCGTGCAAACACAGGAAAGTCAGGAAATCACCAGCACTCAGTAGTAAAGATAAATATGTCCCTTTTATTGGACAGAAAGCGTCACAGACATCCAGATGTGACCCATCTTTCTGCCTTGAGGAAGGGACCCTGCGCGGCCCCGAAAGTACATCTTATTGTAAAGTACATCTTATTGTATGTGTGAGATCAACTCTGTCCTCACATGACTGTAAGCTCTGTGGTTTAGTCAGGATTTAACGCTAACATGGCAGCCAAAACTTTTTTTACAGTAGAGAACGGCTCTGACTCCTGTCAGTTTATTCTTTCTGTCTGTGTCCCATCGGGGAGATTTCTCATTACATCTTGTCCTAAAGACACAACTTGGGCTGACATGGTGATCACATGACATTGTTTATTAGAGCAGGCATGGTGATCACATGACTTTGTTCATCAGGGCAGGCATGGTGATCACATTACTTTGTTTATCATTGCAGGCATAGTGATCACATGTCTTTGTTCATCAGGGCAGGCATGGTGATCACATGACTTTGTTTATCACAGTTTACATGGTGATCACATGACTTTACTAGGACTTGCATGGTGACCACATGTCTTTCTTTATCAGGGCTGGCATGAAGATTACATGGCTTTTTTTATCATGGCTGGAATAATGATCACATGACTTTGTTTATTAGGGCAGGCATGAGGATCACATGACTTTGTTTATTAACTCTGAAATTACAATTAACACTGCCATGGTAATCACATGACCTTATTTACCAGTACTGAGATGACGATCACATGGCTTTGTTTATTAACCCTGACATGTAGATCACATGACTTTATCAGTGCTGACAAGGTAATCATGTGACTTTTTTTTAATCAGTACTAACATTAGGATTGCAAGGTTTTTGTTAGAAAAAAAGCCACGTCGTTTTTAAAGCACGTTTTCCCTAAGCAGTCTGCATGCCAAAATTCGAGGCTTATTGCAACAAATTCTGGCCTAAATCTGTCATTTCCGTGCAAAAATCAAGGTTTAGGTTGAAGACAAAATGGTCTCCTCATCCCTAGTTACAACTGAGGATTAATTATAATATTTAAGTTTGACTAACAGACAGACCCCAGAACTAGGTGACTATATTTTTAGTTCTGGCTCTGGCCTCTGAATCTTCCTCTACCGAGGCTGAGAAGGGCGGCAGATATTTGGTGAGTGGGAAGAACTGGAAAGAGATACGAGAGTCAGTCCGTTCTATTCACAGAGGAGGGTGCAGAGCCCCGAGCTCACCTCAGCATCTGGTGATTGGGAATGTCTCAGACAATGATCCTTGATGATGTCACTCTCTTCTCTGCATTGTAGTAATTTCCCACATCTGCTGAAAAACAGAAAAAAAAAACCTAACAAAATAAGTTCACACAATATTTCACACAGTACAACCAACCTTATTATTATTATTATTATTGTGAGAGAGTGAAATTAAACCAAAAAACCAAGGAGGTGAGACATTTCTTATAATAGACAATAATTGCCATTTATCCAACTGTCACTCCAGAGCCTCCTATAGATACATCCTAAATATAGAGCCACCAATCCAACTGTCCATTCAGAGCCTCTTATACATACAACCTAAATATAGAGCCACCACTCCAACTGTCCATCCAGAGCCTCCTATAGATACAACCTAAATATAGAGCCATTTATCCAACTGTCCATCCAGAGCCTCTTATACATACAACCTAAATATAGAGCCACCAATCCAACTGTCCATCCAGAGCTTCCTATAGATACATCCTAAATATAGAGCTACCAATCCAACTGTCCATCCAGAGCACCCTATAGATACATCCTAAATATAGAGCCATCAATACAACTGTCACTCCAGAGCCTCCTATAGATACATTCTAAATAGAGAGCCACCAATCCAACTGTCCATCCAGAGCCTCCTATAGATACATCCTAAATATAGAGCCACCAATCCATCTGTCCATCCAGAGCCTCCTATAGATACAACCTAAATATAGAGCCACCAATCCAACTGTCCCTCCAGAGCCCCCTATAGATACAACCTAAATATAGAGCCAATTATCCAACTGTCCATCCAGAGCCCCCTATAGATACAACCTAAATATAGAGCCACCAATCCAACTGTCCATCCAGAGCACCCTATAGATACATCCTAAATATAGAGCCACCAATCCAACTGTCACTCCAGAGCCTCCTATAGATACAACCTAAATATAGAGCCACCAATCCAACTGTCCATCCAGAGCCACCTATAGATACATCCTAAATATAGAGCCACCAATCCAACTGTCCCTCCAGAGCCTCCTATAGATACATCCCAAATATAGAGCTATGTATCCAACTGTCCATCCAGGACCTGGTTCCCTATACCTATTCTCTCCCCAGTACCATCTTATGAATAACCTGGACTGGTAGAGGAAAGGATATAAATGACGTGTCTGTATTATCTGTATTCCGAGTTTAATGCTGAAGTGCAGATATCTCCGGTATAGAAGGGATCACCTCGTATGTTTCTTCCACATTTAATACACAAGGACAGACCCTTGAATGTGATTTGTGAATCCCGGAGGTGGGAAGTATCAGCACACAATGGTGGGAAGTTTATTTACCTGCTGGGTCCGGCTTGTGTCGCTGGGTGTAGCGGGATCTGCACATTGGAGTCCCCGCTGTTTGGCTCCTTCTGGGAAGATAAATCAAGTGATTGGAGTCACAGAAGATGACGTCAAGTTTTATATTAAGACTCAGGAAGTTCTAAGAACTCCCCGAGGACTGTGTGTGTCCTGTTGGCTCCCTCCCAGCACCGACCACTGACCTGAGACACAATAGTCTGGCTTCCCGGGATGCTTTGCTGCTGCTTTCCCACGCTGCTCTGCTCCCGTGTGTCGGGGGTCGCCGAGTTACCCGGTTCTCTGGTGAACGTGGTGCCTCTGGAGGACTTTCCTGTCCTAAGGGACCAAACATGACTTTATGTTAGCTGCTAATGTCTAATTATAGAGATTGTGGGAATTTCGGGAAAGCGGAGCCTCTCGGCCAAACAGCCACTTGGTGTCGTCTGGTGAAGACGTGAAACATTTAAAACAAACAACTCCCGGACCGATTTATCATTTAGACAGAAGAGGCGACTTTTCTCCTGTCGTAGGGATCGCAGCACCAGACACCTCATAGTATGAATTAGGGATGCACCGATACCGGTATTTCGGTATCGAGTACCGATATATATTTTACCGGTACTCACCGATACCGAATACCGATACCGGAAGTCTCATTCAGGAAGCCAGGTGGCGTGTAATGACTCGCCACCCAGCTTCCCGATTAGCAAGGAAGCTGGAGCCGGCTTTCGTTTCACTATGTGACGAGAAAGCATGGCTTTCTGGCCAATCAGGCTTCCTGATTGGCCAGCTTCCCTACCAATCAGGAAGCCGGGTAGCGCGTCATTACCACGCTGCCCGCCTTCCTGATACAGGAAGTATCGGGCAAGGCATCGGAGCATTTGGACGAATACAACGCCCAAGCACCGGGCTTCTCCGACTGGATACAAAAGTAACAAATATTTAGACATCCCCTGCATTACAAGGGATTAAGTATACCATTGAAAGTGTTTGGTTATATCTGTTTAATAGGTGCAAACAAATACCTGTTGATCCTGCCAGAAATATAGTGAGCTAATAACTTCCTGCTCTGCTGCTTGGTATTAGTTACACTGTTTCTAGCTCTTTGTGTGGACTGCAGAGCACCTCCTCCTATAATATGAAGATAAGGATAGGGGGAGGTGTTTCGGAGTCCTGTTCTAGGATGCCAACACTCTATATAGCTTTGTCGAGATGATCCCACCCTGGGGATTCCCTGCCTCCTCACATACACATATTATCACATACACATATGTCACATCTACCACTGCTACCAGTAAACCTCAATAAGGTTCAATGCTTAAAAGAATAGACGGCGATGTAGAGGGAGAAGAGTCCATACCGGACTGTCTGCTGCAGCTGGGACCAAATCTCCTTCACCTGCCGCTGTCTGTGCAAAGCCCTGGACGCCAGAACGGGGTGGAGGCTGGACACCTGAGACACCGAGACATCCAACATCTGCAGGACGAATGGTGAGCGATGGATGGGTCAGAGGAGATTGTAAGAGGGACATGGATACAAGTGAGAAGAGGGAAAGGACAGAAGAGACAGAGGACAGGGGAGACAGAGGACAACAGAAGAAGAGAACAAGCGAGACAGAGATACAAGTGAAAAGAGGGAAAGGACAGAAGAGACAAGAGGACAGAAGAGACAAGAGGACAGGGGGGACAGAGGACAGGGGAGACAGAGGACAGGGGAGACAGAGGACAGGGGAGACAGAGGACAGGAGAGACAAGAGGACAGGAGAGACAGAGGACAGGGGAGACAGAGGACAGGAGAGACAGAGGACAGGGGACAGGAGAGACAGGGGACAGGAGAGACAGAGGACAGGAGAGAGAGAGGACAGGAGAGACAGAGGACAGGAGAGCCAGAGGACAGGGGACAGGAGAGACAGAGGACAGGGGAGACAGAGGACAGGAGAGACAGAGGACAGG